CCTAGGATGCCTCGGGGGTGAGTAAAACGCAGCCTAATTTTCATTTTTGGGTGAACTAACCCTTTAATGGAGATAAGCACTGAAATTACATAAAGTCATAACGCAGAAGTTCAACCTAAATTATATGAATTTAGAAATAGCCTTTTTTGTAGTGGATGCGCTTGATTACTTTTCCTGTGGTATGTTATTCAATGACAGCGAGGAGTGCTATAGGTGCACAATAATTTATCTTTAAAGTAAACTGCACATCTCATGTTATGAGAAAATATTTTTAGCGAGAACAATGATCAATGATGCGCACTTACTTCGAAATTGTGGAAGTCCACTGCTGGATTCGGTGGAACGGTGTATTGTCCGGTTTGAATAGGACCAATGATAAGCTTACTGTACAACCACAGCTGCACGGAAGTGTTGATGTCGTGTGAAGGCATCTCCACAACATTATGAAAAATACCACTGTATTTGAAGGATACACAACTTGAAGAAAACGGTAAGATTTGCACGTTTTCTTTTTAAAATAATTTGTCAATGACGCGCAGAGTCAGATAATTGTATTTACATTGCAATAAATATATGCCTATATTTTTTCCACAATGAATGAGATCAACTCTATTCTAAATTATTTTTCTGAGAACTAAAGAGTTTTTATGGATATTTTGATATATTTATTCTAAAACATAACACGGATACCGGATGATTTTTAGCAATAAAAATTAATGTGCATGGCACTGTAGGGATTTCTATCCATAACAGACACTCGTTAGAACTTTGAAACTTCATGCAACTCCGTTAACTCACTTCTGAACTGTGTATGTGTGTGTGTATGTGTATTTTAGCTTAGCTTTAATGTAATCTAGAATAGCCAATAAAATTCATGTTTCGTGTTTCATTTATAAAGAATCATTGTCTGGTGTCCTATAATTTTAAAGTCAAACCCTTGCCAAAGATCACGTTACCTCTCTAAGAGCTTACAAATGATCATAATTGTATTGACCTGTGGCCAAGGAAAATACACACTTGTGCTCACAAGCTGAACCATCAGGCGATCGACCATCTAAGAACTCAAACACTTCAGTTGAAGCTTCGTAACTCTGCAGGATGCAAAGTCTTGCTAAAGCAGACTCTCTCTCTCTCAGAAGAACCAGAGGCTCTTCCGTAACCCGGCAAGCAACCAATCCAACGAGGGCTTCCCCAAAAGGACGTCATCCAAACGTCATTCCGGCGCCAGATCAACAGCCAATCAGCCACGGAATCCCCTCCAGTAGCCACGAGGAACAACTCAGCTTTCAGCAAACGCAAGTACAAACAAAATCTTCTATCTGCTGAACTGACGCTGGTGAATTGAGTTAAGCAGTAAAGATAAGAAAATATCTGCTTTGTGAATTCTCTCAGGCTGAATTTAAAACCACTCGTGAAAACGAGTTAGAACTTTGAAACTTCATGCAACTCCGTTAACTCACTTCTGAACTGTGTATGTGTGTGTGTATGTGTATTTTAGCTTAGCTTTAATGTAATCTAGAATAGCCAATAAAATTCATGTTTCGTGTTTCATTTATAAAGAATCATTGTCTGGTGTCCTATAATTTTAAAGTCAAACCCTTGCCAAAGATCACGTTACCTCTCTAAGAGCTTACAAATTATCATAATTGTATTGACCTGTGGCCAGGGAAAATACCCATAATCAGATGGTTAAGATACATGAACATTAACGGCTTGCTGGACGACCGTTGATAAGGTGTAAACCATTAAAATTTGAAATCAGTTCTAATCAGGTGGACTTCGAATTTTCAGATTCGAGTCCTTTCAAAACCTGAATGAATTAATAATAATTAATTCCCTAAAATTAAGTAATCAAAGACATTACAGCACAAATGGCATTTATATTCCGTATCTCATATTTCCTTAATGTCTTGTACCTTTGACGGTGTTAAACATGGTGTCAGATGGATGGGAATATGCATAGAAATGATATGCAGATGAGGTTATGCATAGTAAAAACTAGGCATTGTAAGCTCCATATATGGTGATTTCGGGGAGGAGTCGGGGTGGAGATGCACCTACGCACAATCTTCCCCTGACTGGGATTTATAAAGGCATTTTTGCGCAGGTTCTGGCATACACATGGTTTTATAAATCTGAAAACTTTTGAGCATACGCAAAATCTAGCTTTTGTGCCTACGTACACTTTCAGGATGAAATCTATGGAGAGTTTTATAAATGAGACCCCTGATCTCTTCTGGAAGCTGATTCCAACTGCGGGCGGCATAATAGCTAAAAGCTGACTCCCCTTGTTTTGTGTGAACCCTTGGTATTTCTAACTGAATCGATCCTAATAATCAGAGTGGTCTGTTAGGTTTATATTCAGTGAGCATATCTGCAATATATTTAGGTCCTAGGCCATTGAGTGATTTATAAACGAGTGATTTATAAACAAGTGATAAATTGAGTGATTTATAAACGAGTAAAAGTACTACACATTTAAAATATACACACTTTGCATAAAAACAGGGCATATTCCTACCATCAGTGTATAGTTTGCGAAGTTGTGCCACAAAGGGATTGTCATCATCATCACCCTCAATCAAAATGTACTGGCCTAAAGACACAGTTGCATCTTCGGTCTTTCCCTCCACAGAAATGGACATGGATCTGTGAGGATCAATCAAAGCATTGTTGCGGTTAAAATCTGGGTTAAAACATCTTTTAACCATTTAAATTTCCATGACTACTGGATAAGGATTTTTTTTTAAACACACATTTTATAGAGACTGCTCTCACTCACAAAGCCTCAATCAAATTACAAGTTATATTTGTTCAAATCACTGTCTTGTGATTTGATCTGAATGTGGTACACACACTTACTCATAGTATTGCCTTTTCAGCTTCCTGTCTTCACTAATTGGTCTCCCATTCCATTTGTAGGTTCTTCTCATTCTCAGTCTTGTGATGTAGCGGCTCATGGTGCAGGTCTGATATGAGGTCTGTAAAGTACAGCATCGATTATGTACTTAATAATGAAAAGTAAAAATGGCAAACAGGAAAAAAAGATACAGAAAAATTATTTTAAGCAAATATAAAATTGTAGAATTTGGAACTTTTATTATTATATCAAATGCATTAAATTGAAATGATATATTAACCCTTAAATACCTGTCATTAAGAAAATAACTTTTATTATTGGAGATGTAAGAATAAATTAATAACATAACCACGTCTTCTTTATATAAGGTATCAAACATCAAAATTCACTATGTACACAACTTTAAATCCCCAGCACCTTTCTTTCTTACTCACCAGCCGATAATATCTGCAACCGTATCAAATCTCATTAAACAAATAAATAAGCAACAGTATTCCGTCTCACTTAAACGCTCAGAAATCTACATTAATGTATATATGAAGTTGAACGCATCTTACAGCACAGTAGTTAGAGAGCACAATCACACAACTCGCACGACTCTTTCGCGCGCAGATGACGTATGAAGTATTTTTGATTGGACAGCAAAATACCGCTTGACCTTACGGATGTGACGCGAGCTTTTCCCCGGAAGTCATTCTTCGATATAGCTCCATGGCATATTAGCGTTCCGATTATCCGTTCGTTCATTTACAATTTTGAGCCATGGCTAATAGAACGGTAAAAGATGCCAATAGTATACATGGAACAAATCCTCAGTATCTTGTCGAGAAGATTATACGAACACGTATTTATGAGTCCAAGTACTGGAAAGAGGAATGTTTTGGACTTACAGGTGAGAGAAGTGTGCTGGACTACATACTGTAATTGTTAATGTGGCATTGAAAACCACGCTAGTTATTTACCTTACTCACAGAAATGACCGAAACAAGTCTACTTACTGATTACCTCATTTTATTTAATTATATTTTAAAGCTGGCCTGCTGTTGTTCATTGTTTACTGTTGGCAGCATTAGTAATGTGACTTGATACTGTATTAGAAAGGAATAACTTCGAATGTGTGTATTAATTTAAAATGGAACTGTTTATTTAACCTTAAAATAATAATAATAAAAAAAGCTTAATATAGGAGAATAACATTTTAATCGTGGGGGTCAAAACATAGTGCAATGCAATACAATGGTGATTGAGTGATAAACATTCCTCAAAAAGCCTATTGCATTTTTAAATGATTTTTCTTAAAAATGTATGTATTGATAATAAAGTATGGTTGCTGCAGTCCAGTAAATTTCTACATTTACTTTAAAAATCATTAAAGATTCCACAGCAAAAGGTGGACATTTTGGGGAAGTCGTGGCCTAATGGTTAGAGAGTCGGTCTCATAACCCAAAGGTTGTGGGTTTGAGTCTCGTACCGGCAGGGATTGTAGGTAGGTGGGGGGAGTGAATGTACAGCGCTCTCTCCCACCTTCAATACCACAACTGAGGTGCCCTTGAGCAAGGCACCAAACCCCCAACTGCTCCGCGAGCGCCGCAGCATAAATGGCTGCCCACTGCGCCGGGTGTGTGTTCACGGTGTGCGTGTTCACTGCTGTGTGTGTGCACTTTGGATGGGTTAAATGCAGAGCACTAATTCCAAGTATGGGTCACCAAACTTGGCCACATGTCATGTCACTCACACACTCACTCACATTTTTAGAATTATATGAAGAAGGCCCTAAAAACTATGTAACATCAATCAGATGGCAGAAGACATGTACACGATTGCCTACACAGGTTTTTCAGCAAAGGTTTGTGCAGGTTGAAAATGTAGAGGCCTTATTAAGTCATGTATCAAATATGATGCTGTAGGCTTGACAGAGTTATGGTCTGTTATAAAACATTTACCTTAAATTTCTCCATATGCATGTATGGATTTGTGGAATTAATGTGCCAAGCATCGTTTTAAATGTCACTAATATTGTTCCCTCTGTAAAATCAAGCTGAACTTGTCGTGGACAAAGCAATGGAACTGAAGTATGTTGGTGGTGTATATGGAGGAAACATCAAGCCTACTCCATTCTTGTGTCTGACCCTAAAGATGCTGCAGATCCAGCCTGAAAAGGACATTATTGTGGAATTCATCAAGAATGAAGACTTCAAGTTAGTATGCAAATACTGCTCTATCTGTATACAGTTTGTCCTTTTCCTGTTTGCATTGTGCTGTGTGTTGCATTACTGATCTGCTTTTTCCCCCTCCAGGTATGTCCGTTTGCTTGGAGCAATGTATATGCGCCTGACTGGAACCTCTGTAGATTGCTACAAGTATTTAGAACCATTATACAATGACTACAGAAAAATTAAAAGCCAGAACAGAAATGGAGGTGGGCATTTTTCTTAAATATTTAGTGGGTATGTGGCATGAAATAATTTATCCTTGCTGGAAAAAGATGTTTGCAAATAACATTTCTTCTTTACACAGAGTTTGAGTTGATGCATGTTGATGAGTTTATAGATGAGCTGCTTCATGCAGAGCGAATGTGTGACATCATCCTCCCTAGACTTCAGGTTGGTTGGACTTATTATGTGTAGTGTGGGTGTGTGTGTATATATAATTTTTTTTTTACATAAATTGAATGCATTTGTGTTGTCCTTTGAAGTAATATGAATTTCAAAGGAAATGTATTGAGTCATTTATGTTATAAAATAATGTGTCCACGTGTTCATTTGTTTTTGTTTTTTTCACAGAAGAGACAGGTTTTAGAGGAAGCTGAGCTGCTGGATACTCGTATTAGTGCTCTGGAAGAAGATCTGGATGAGGTGGAAACCAGTGATGAGGAGGATGAGGAAGAAGAGAAGGTAAAAGTGAACTCACAATGTCTTTTTCTATCCAAGCAAAAATTATTATTATTAATAGTTATAGATATAATAAATTGTGATTGTTACACAACCTCTCCATATGTACTGCAGCCAGAGAAGGTGCAGTCACCAGAGCCACACAGAAGAAGTTATAGAGATATGGACCGGCCACGCAGGTCTCCTTCTCCACGCTACAGACGCAGCCGCTCACCCAGAAGGTCAGTGATGGTGCTAATCATCCATTTAGATTAAATTATTTCAGGTTTCTGGTGTAACAGATGAAGAATTAATCTTCTGATTCTCTTCTGTTTTTTTTTCTTTCTCATTTTAGACGGAGCAGGTCACCTAAAAGACGAAGGTATATAATAAAAATTTTTTAGGCACATTATTAGTGTCTTAGATACATTATTAGTGGGGCATATTATTTTAGGTGATTATACAGTATAATACATTTGTCTGATTACTCTGTTCATTTATTCAGTCCATCACCCAGACGTGAGCGAGATCGGGACCGTCATCGCAGCAAAAGTCCCCGCAGGCACCGCAGCAGATCCAGGGACAGAAGACATCGCTCCAAATCTCCAGGTAAAGCAAGGCTGTTTTGAAGTACTCAATATGTCACCACAATTTATTTAAAATAATTAGAGTAATTGGCAAAACTGATTATTAAGAAATATTGGTATATTTTCTTCCAGGTCACCACAGAAGTCACCGGCATCGCAGTCACTCCAAGTCCCCAGAAAGGTAATACTTAGATATATCAAATGAATTTACATTTTTGTCTTTGTTTTTACCCTCTTGTTTCATGGTGCATTTGTCTCTTTGTGTTCTAGTCGGTCAAAGAAGAGTCACAAGAGAAGTCGAAGAGGAAATGAGTGATCTCCGTTTTCTGTGTGAATTTTTTTTTTCTTGTTTTATAGATATTTTTTTGCTCTGTAATATATGGAGAAACAGAGCCATTTCTGTCATAAAAAGCTTGAACTTATTCTGTGTAAATTGCCCAAGCCCAGTTTAGTCCTCATAGGTTTTTTATGCTGTTTTATACTTTTAATTGACATTTACAACCAGAAAATTACAGATTTTTTTTTCATCCTGAATTAACTGTACTTTGTAAAATAAACATTTGATGTATTGTAGTTTCCATTTTTCCAGTTATAAAGATAATGATTGAAACAGTCTACAAGAAAATTGACTTTGCTGTTATTTTGGTGTGATTTCAGTCTCTGAATTTGGAGACTTCTGTACAGGTACATACGATTCTACAACAAAATTGAAGTTGAACAGCTAAAGCCAAGAAAAGACTGGACATAACCACTCTTGTACTGTTTTAGTGCTATGGGATAAAGTTGGCCAAACTGCATTTAATTTCATTAGAGAGATGAAATATTTATTTTAAATATAAAGTAGGGTAATAAGCAAAACGTAAAGCAACCTAACTTTTACTTTCACTTTTGAATTTCAAAAGAAAAGACGTAGAAGTCTACAAAGGGTGGTGGACTATATAGATTAAGGGACACTTGAATGAGTTTCAGATTGATCGTAATATTTTCGTGTGATCAGTGACTAAAATGACATGGGGTTTAGGTATTTTTGTAATTTGGCAAATAACGGAGATCAAATCTTCATTTTATTTTTTATCCTCGTCACTTGAACTAGAAAAAAAAGTATGACGGTGAGGAAATTGTTGTAATGTTATGGAGACTTTTATTTTGACGGATGTTTTTAGAGAACAGCGAACAGGAAGTAAATTCGTCAACGTTATGAGAAAATATTAAAATAATTTTTAATCAACCTGGATAGTTGTATAGCGGAGAAATTCCTTAAACTATCAATACACTGTAAGTATATATATAAGAACAAATAATATAAAAATATTCCTTGTTATGATGCGCCACATGGGACACTAGACCTGATTTTACAGGGAGAAATGCAGCATATTCAACGCGCTCTGCGTCTTGTCATTCATTCTCACAAGTTTTATTGTCGAATGGTATGTTATCCAACTGTCTGTGTTATTCACGGCACTAACTAGACAATTAAGAGCAAACCGATCTGGAGGTTAAATTGATGTGATTTCGACAATGATTTAAATTCCCTTTATATTAAAATACAAGGACTGTTTCACATTAATTTAATTATTAATTTTATAATGTTTGCTAAACCAAAGGTTATGCAGTCCAGGATGTTTTACAATATTTACTGTACATCCTGCTTGAGCTGCTGTGGAAGTCAGCTGATAAGTCAGCAGGTTACACTTCCTTTCATTGGAAAGGAAGTGTAACCAGTTTCAACAGTTTGCATTCACTGCGCCTCCTGCAACCTTTCTGTGAGTGTTTAGGGTTTCGATTGATTTACTAGAGCAGGGATTAAATTATAGATTTAATATCCTGAAGTCTATTCCATGTATGAACACTGTTCAAATGGTGTTCTTTGTTTTCTTTTCTCTGAAGGCACACAGGATGAGTATGAATGACTTTGCTGTTCTCAGCACTGGACGAAAGATGCCCCTTGTGGGACTTGGGACGTGGAAGAGTGAACCAGGACAGGTAAGTTCACTGTGCATCATCCCAACTGTAATTATGACAGAATTTGAATCTGAATATGCTGTATTGAGAATGACAGCAGGTTTACTAGGATATACAGTTCTTCAGTATATTATCCAATAAGTTTTGCAATAATCTTTTGCTTTAATTATTGTGTATGTGTGTAGGACTCCAAAATCATTTTGTATAAATATGTTATCAATTGTAGGTAAAACAGGCAGTTATTTGGGCACTGCAATCTGGCTATCGGCACATTGACTGTGCTCCCATTTATGGGAATGAGCCAGAGATCGGTGAAGCATTTCAGGAAATGATGGGACCTGAAAAAGTAGGTCAACCAAGTAGATTACAAACATGAAACACATACCCACACACTGAAATATATAATGCACGTGTGCTTTACAACTGTTGTCTTCTTTCAGGGCATAAGGCGAGAGGATGTATTTGTGACCTCCAAACTGTGGAACACAAAACACTACCCAGATGATGTGGAACCATCTCTTTTAAAGACTTTGAAAGATTTGAAGCTGGAATACCTAGACCTTTACCTCATCCATTGGCCATGTGCCTTCCAGTAAGCCTCCAGCTATTCTCATAATGAATATATATATATATATATATATATATATATATATGTGTATACCCTCCCTCTTGGAAAGGTAATGAGGAAAGTTGTTATATATTAATTATAATTATTATTAGTTTTATTATAGAATATATAATATAATTTATTATGTTTTATTCACAGTAACACCAGGAACATGTAAATAAGAAAGTGAACAAGGTCTATTTTAATTGTATAAAATATTATTTCATACAAATAATATAAAAAAATATATATTTTTATGAGTCTCACAAAATCTAGATAAAATAGACTTTCCAATTCATCTTGTCCAGTTAGACATATTACAGTCTTATAGTTCATATGGCTTTAGCAGAAGCGTAATATGGTTACTTGCCCTTTAAATCTATATATATATGTATGTATATATATATGTATGTATATATGTATGTATGTATATATGTATGTATGTATATATATATGTATGTATGTATGTATTAATTCAATATACACAGACACATAGACAGAGTACTATGTATGAATTAATTTTCTTAGAACTAACTTAAGTTCTAAAATAAAAGAAAAAAAAGAAAAAGAGAGAGATAAAAGGGTGCAAGACTCTGTAATAGTCCATTGTTATAATAGTCTTATCTAGGTTATCTTGTTTATTGCTAATATAAACATGATGTTTTCTTTATCTCCTTTGGGGAATTAATTATGAAGTGCTCATTAGTAGGGATATCTACCCAAAAAATGAAAATTCTGTCATCATTTGAAGAATTTTAAAGACTGTTGGTACTAAACACTTCTAGTTCACATTGACTTCCTTTGTATGGTAAAAAAAATGATGGTAGTCAATGGGAACTGAAACGGTTTGGTTACTAACAACATTCGTCAAACACGAGTGGTCTTCCACCAAAAGAAAATAGTCTTACAGTTTGGAATGACATGAGGGTGAATTAATAGGACAGAATTTTCTTTTTCGGGTGGACTATCCCTTTAACGTGCTCTGCCTTTTTTCAGATACCAGTCAAGTGTTTAATCTTCTTATTTTTGTCCAGACGAGGTGATACCTCTTTTCCTAGGAAGGAGAATGGAACCATGCTGTATGACAACATAGACTACAAGCTGACATGGACTGCTATGGAAAAACTTGTGGGAAAGGGCCTTGTCAGGGCCATCGGGCTCTCGAACTTCAATAGCAGGCAGATCGATGACATCTTGTCAGTTGCAAGCATCAAACCAACTGTTTTGCAGGTCAGAAGAAAATTTGATGTTATAATTTATGTGGTCAATTATATCTGTTTGTAGAGTAACAATAGTGTTTTGCAGGTGGAGTCCCATCCATACCTTGCACAGGTTGAGCTGTTTGCTCACTGCCGGGATCGGAGTTTGGTGATGACCGCCTACAGTCCGCTAGGATCTCCTGACCGAGCCTGGAAGCATCCAGAGGAGCCTGTGCTGTTGGAGGAACCAGCCATTGCTGCACTAGCCAAGAAATACAACAAGACTCCTGCACAAATTATCATCAGGTAAATTCAGGCTTTTGCACTAGTTGTGTGTGGTGTTTCCTCACGGATTATTACATAGTATTTCTTCAACGGTATTTCGGCAGGTGGCAAACTCAACGAGGAGTAGTGACTATCCCAAAGAGCATTACAGAGTCTCGGATCAAAGAGAATATCCAGGTTTCTGCATGTTTTTTTGTTATTCTTTATGTTCTAGAGTGTTTATGACTGTATTGTAACTATGCAATACATTTGCTCTGCTCATTTACAGGTGTTTGATTTCACACTTGAACCTGAAGAAATGAATCAAGTGATAGCAGTGCACAGAGGCTGGCGTTACATTGTGCCAACCATTACTGTAAGTTACATTACTGTAAGCCACATCATACAACAAAACACTCAATTTTACTTTAACAAAGAGGTTACTTTAAAACAAAATATAATGTTGAAGCTGCTGTTTTTAAGTGTGCTGAGTGTTAAGACTTTGCAAATCAAATGCATTCCAAAAGTAGTTTGCTATTACATATGCTGTTGCATCTATTTTTGTAGGTTGATGGTAAGTCTGTCCCCCGGGATGCAGCACATCCTCACTACCCTTTTAATGACCCCTATTAATGCACACTTCTGTGTGATTCTGTGCCTTGGAACCAATGCCCATTCACTACTCTGTATACTTCTAAACATAATAAAACTTTTTTGTTACATATTGAAATGTGTGCTTACTTTTTTTTTCGTGTGGAATGAAACTTGATGAACAAGGGCTGATTTTAAATGTATTCACAATGTTTAAGGGTGAATTTTATGAAACTTGTCAAGAATATGTCTGGATTATCACTTTTAAAAGAACAAATTTACATTTTGAAAATAAGCATGTTTTTAAGGCCCTTAAGGTTATTTTGACATCAGTTAATCAGACTCTAATTATCCTAATGAGATATATATATTATGTTTTATTCACAGTAACACCAGGAACATGTAAATAAGAAAGTGAACAAGGTCTATTTTAATTGTATAAAATATTATTTCATACAAATAATATAAAAAAATATATATTTTTATGAGTCTCACAAAATCTAGATAAAATAGACTTTCCAATTCATCTTGTCCAGTTAGACATATTACAGTCTTATAGTTCATATGGCTTTAGCAGAAGCGTAATATGGTTACTTGCCCTTTAAATCTATTCTCCCGCGTTTTTGTGACAGGGTCGTAGTTCAGCGGAAGTACGGCTTGTATCCGTATTTAAAGGCGCCAACAAAGACTAACTCAGAAAGAAGCTTCACAAACCTGCCATCTGTACTCACATCATCCAACAGCACACTACAGCGTAGTTAACGCATTAAAATGCCCGAGGAAACTGCAGCTGCCGAAAGGTGAAATACCATTTTTAAATTAAGTGCGCTCCCTGGGAAGTAAGCAGAAGTTAAAGGAAGTCAGAGTGAGAGGTTTTGGCTGGTTTCGTTTGATAACAAAGCTGCAGCAGCTCCGTCCTTGTCAGGAAAAATGTGTCGCCCTCGTGCTTCTATTCGCTTTTCTCCCGCGCCCGGACATCGTTGCACGCGACGGGATGGTATCACCGTTGATTCCCGTTGACGTGTTTGGCTGCTCTCATTTGGCGGGAGAGGGTTTAATATGAACGGCTAGCTTGTTTAAGTATCCTAAATGAGGTAACTCCCGCTCTGTTGACACGCAGTCATGAATGACCCGTCGATGAGCTTGGCGCTGCATTGAAATGACTGCAAACGCGCCGAAGTTGAGCGTTGAGTGAATGGTGGCGGTAACAACACAAATATCGCTTTAAATTGCCCACTTTGGGTATTATACTGACATTAAACTGTGACGTTAGATGTTAGCCTTAAACGCGTGTGATGTTGGCACACTCGGTCAAGAAATAAGTTATAGTAGCATCGTGCTAACTTTGGTCCTTCGCAGTGAACCTCTGAAGCAAACTTTAGTGAAATTTTGCTCTTATTGGACGTATTCTTCAGACGAAGCAAGGCTTTTTAATGTATGACTGTTTTTGTATTGTTTGTCTTTGCAGTATGGAAGAGAAACCTTGCTCGTCAAGCGCTGCAGACAGGTGAGTTAGTATCTGGACTTCGTTTTATTAAAACCGCTCATTTCCCTAAAACGAGTTGAGTTTCGTTACTCACATTTTCGTTTACTTTTGCAGCTCCGTCGATGTTTCTGAGGAAGCAAAGAAGCTGATTGGCACAGGCAACCGGCACTTGGTGATGGGTGATGTTGTGTCTGCAGTCAGTGTGTTCCAGGAGGCTTGTGCCATGCTGTGAGTAGTGAAGGAATATTGTAATGCATATGTATTATGTAAAGGAAATTTGTGGTACCTGCCATTGTTTGAATGGGTACACTTTAAAAAAAAAAAATTTTTTATATAAATATTATGCTCTATTTACATGTGTAACCTATTTCCCCCCTTAAGAGCTGAAAGGTATGGAGACACTGCTGATGAATGTGGTGAAGCTTTTTTCTTGTGTGGGAAAGCCCTTCTAGAGCTTGCCAGGTATGTGGATTAATTAGAATTTAGTGCATTACATTACACAAAAGAAAAGTATCAGTTTAACTAATTTTTGTTGTTTTTAATACCACTTTAGGATGGAGAATACAGTGCTTGGTAATGCTTTAGAGGGAGTCCCAGAAGAATCCTCTGAAGAGGGTGAGAAACAGAATGACTCTAAGATTGAAAGCGCAGACAACTTGGATGGTTTGTATTTTAAGTTTGTCAGTTAAATTTGTTAATTTTGTGCTTTTCATGTATGCTCAAGGATTGACATGACATTTGCAAAAATGATGTTTCCAAAGAACCACCAAATTGACAGTTGTCAGTGCTCTGCACAACAAACCAGCACATATTGACAACGCATAACTTGATTCTAAATAAGAGGGACTCTAAGGTTGAAGATACATGGGGCAGCTTATTGAGCAATGTTGCTGGGCAACTTTGGTTAATGTTGGCGTCAATGGGCAACCAGGTGTGACACAGGGCCCATGACCGATCTAAAGAATCCAGATAGAAATTGGTTACCCGTTCTCAGTGTGAAAGTTCTCAAGCAACTTTGCTCAAATATTTGCCTCGTATATCATCACTGAATATGATATTAACTGTAACCTAGAAATATCCCTCCATTTGTACTATGATGCAGAGAAAACCAGAGATGAGCTTCGAGCACAGGTTTATGATGCCATGTCAGAGGACAAAACTCAGTCTGAGGTAGAAAAAGAGGTGGGGGAAGGTGTGCAGAAGAACCAAGAGGAAGTTAAAGAGGAGAAGGTTGAAGCACCAAGGGAAGGGGATGCAGCATCACAAAAAACTGAGAAACCAGCTGAACACAAGGCAAAACCTGCTGAAAATGAGAAGCAAGCTGAACATGAGGCAAAACCTGCTCAAGATGAGGAGAAACGAGCTGAACATGAGGTGAAACCTGCTGAAAATGAGAAACTAGCTGAACATGAGGCAAAACCTGCTCAAGATGAGGAGAAACGAGCTGAACATGAGGTGAAACCTGCTGAAAATGAGAAACTAGCTGAACATGAGGCAAAACCTGCTCAAGATGAGGAGAAACGAGCTGAACATGAGGTGAAACCTGCTGAAAATGAGAAACTAGCTGAACATGAGGCAAAACCTGCTCAAGATGAGGAGAAACGAGCTGAACATGAGGTGAAACCTGCTGAAAACGAGAAACTAGCTGAACATGAGGTGAAACCTGCTGAAAATGAGGAACCTGCTGAAAAAGATGCTGAGAAGTCAGAAGGTGTGGATAAAAGTGCTTCTATAAAGGAAGATGTCACTGTGTCAAATGGAGTAGCTGAAAAGGTTGAGGAAAAAAATGGAAATGAAGAGAAAGAACCCATGGAAGAGGGTGGAGGAGGTAGTGAAGCATGGTGGAGTCTGGGGAGCACGAGATTTGTGTATTAAATACCTTTGCTAAACTTCACCTGGGGAATCTTCTAAGCACTGGTGGATTCATAGAGTATTTAGCTTTTTAAGCTGCAGTGTCACGAAGGGTGTCCAAGGTGATGGGTTTTCACATTAGGTCAATGTCAGTGAGTTAACATCTTTTATGTTTTAGATGACGATGATGAAGATGAGGAGGATGATGAGGATGAGGAGGCAGAGGGTGAAACAAAGGATAAGGTTTGTAATCCATTGTAAAAGGGTTGTTTTTTTTTGTTTTGTTTTTTGTCTCGGTCTTTGATTTTACTGGTTTATCTTCGTGTCCTTGTGCTTTTAGGAGAGTGAGGAGGATGAAGTTGGAAACCTGCAGTTGGCCTGGGAGATGCTTGAGGTTGCAAAGGTGATTTATAAAAGGTATGCCCTTATTACATATTTTAATTATGCACTTGCGCAAGCTTCGTTTCAAAAGACCCACATGATCTTTTATTTGGTTTGAAGAAAAGACAGCAAAGAAGATCAGCTAATGGCGGCACAGATTTACCTGAAACTTGGAGAAGTTGGAGCTGAATCAGGTGTGTATGTGGTGGGCGTAGATGAAAATTACTTAATTTTAAGGACCTTTTTTGGGTTTTACAAGTTGCCGTAAAATTGAAGTTGCCTCATTAGTATTTCTTCACTCTTTATGAACTAGTCTCTGTTTTGTTTTATGTAGGTAACTACAGCCAGGCTCTGGACGACTTCAATGAGTGTTTAACCTTGCAGCTGAAACACCTGCCCTCTCATAGTCGTCTTCTGGCTGAGACCCATTACCAGCTGGGCACTACTTACAGCTACACAGCCCAGTACAGCCAAGCCATTGAGCACTTCTCCAACTCTATCAAAGTCATCGAGAGCCGTCTTGGTAGGAACATTTTCACAGTGGGTTTTGCCAGTCCTCATGCGTTTTTAACTGAGAATTTGCTTGCTGATAACACTAGTTGCCATGAGCAAGCATGGTACTCTCAATTGATTTCCACGTCTCTTTTCCTCCAGCTATGCTTCAGGAGGTAATCGACAAGGCGGAAGGTGCAGAGGCAGCAAAGGAGAAGAGCGAGCTTGAGGAGTTGAAACAGTTACTGCCAGAAATCACTGAGAAGATTGAAGATGCCAAGGAGGGCCAGAGGACGGCTGCTGCAGCATCTGAGGCCATCCATCAGACTCTTGTGAGTTGCATTAGGGCAATAATGCAAATGCATGAAGCATGTTATCCATTGTTCAATGCTTTGCAGTGGCTGATGGCAAATCTGATATCAGCTTATATTACACATTTAATGAATATTGCTCTTAGTACACAAAAAAAAAAAGTGGCGATCAAGTTGGGCATGTAGGTCATCCAGGATGCAACGAAGTTGGTTAGAGGCAATGATGAATAGTTTGGAATTTGTTTGTTATAGGTAGGAGCATCCACTTCATCTGCATTCCCAGCTGAAAATGGTGGCCCATCCTCAACTACTGCTAGTCAGGTGTGTGTGTGTGTGTGTGTGTGT